TCTTGGACGGAAGATCACTTTCCGAGACCCGTCTCTTTTTAGGAGCTGGAGCACTCGGCGTAGGCGCGGGGGTCTCTTCCTTGAGAGCGGCGACGTTTCGCGGCCGTAGACTGGCACGTCGATCCGGACCACTGCTCTTTTCTACCTTATCACGCGAGCGTTTGCCCAAAACGCTGCTAGCCCGACCAACCAGGTCAGAAGCCTTGTCGAGTATACTTAATCGGGTTGACCGACGTAGCGACTTGCGACGTTCAGGTTTGGCAGGCGCAGAAACCTTTTCTTGGTCCTTGTTGTCTTCCTGGGTCAACACCTTTTCCACGCGCTTTCGTAACGTCCGTTGTTGTAGAGACATGCCGATGTCGTTGGGTTGCGGTTCCTGAGACGATTTGGAGACGGGGGTATCTGGCGCCATTGGGTGATCGTCACCGTCCTCCTTATTCTGCGGAAGTGTTGTCTCGCTCCACAAGGCAGTTTCCATGACCGCTATGCTGTGCCGGAGGTGGGAGGAGGACTTGGACCTCGTCCTCTTCACCTCCGCAGCCTCGACCGCACTGGCCAGGACATCGCCGGAGACCGTACGATCACTTTCATCCGCCGGAGAAGGTAATCCATGATTATCCGCGTCCAAATGGTCACTGAGCTGGACTGCCCCTCGTAAAGAAGCGCGTGTTACACGTGTAGATCGTCGGCGGAGGGTGGGTTTCTCGTCGGTGGACGCGTTATCGTTGTTGCTGGAGGTTTCGGAGCGACTATTTTCGGGGGTGAGGAGTTGTTCGGTATATTCGAAGGCCATTGTGCCCTCGAGGTGCTCGTGCGTGTGTTTCTTGAGGTCCGAAAGGGTTGCGGGAGTCGCGGGAGACGCGCCGGGAGAACCAGGTCGACCTTCCATCCCCAAGGGCTGCGGGAAAAGGATATGCGGTGAGAACTAGGTTTTGGTACGAGGGGCAGGACCACCAAACAGCTCGGGATAAGTTGATGTTTCCAGGGATGGATTGCTAGAAATTAACGCGGGGGGTGGTGGTTGTCAACTTCCGAGAGTGTGGCTGACCTGGCGTGCTGCCAATGTTACGGGGGGGAAGTGGGAAAGGTGGTCAGTGGTTCTTTCTCCTTAACCAGGAGGAGGAGACAGATATCGGTGGTGAGCCTTATACCTCCTCACTCTTCATATCTTAACCCCGGAAGCGGGATGGACGGCGTGAAAAAGCCGACGCAGAGAAGGTGCCTGAATGCTTAACCGGGGTTGAGGAGAAGGTCATGGACAAGGAATGGGGGAGGGAGAAAGCAGGGGAGGGAAGAGGAGGAGGAAGAGGAAGCGAAGAGAGAGAGAGGGAGGGAGAGAGTGCGGAGTGAGAGAAAGACAGAGAGAGAGGGTCGAGGAGAGCCGTAGTATCGTCAGCAACAACCCCCGACGACGGCGCCGCGGAATGCAGTCAGAACCAGTGCCAGACATTAAGTAGATCCCCTCGTCTCTTTGTCGAAACCCCCTCGTTTCATCTTCAACCTGTTCCTCTTCTCCGGTCCTGACCAGGATTCCCAACTGGTGACAAGCCCCAGCTTTGCCCTCTTCCACCCCCGCCTCGCGCATCTCAAGAGACAGGACCTCCTACACCCGGACAATTCTTTTGCATCTACTATGAGGCATATAATCGCCATTCTCGGGTATTCCGGGCTCACCTCGTCCGGTTACTACGCTTCTTTGGCGCCAACGGCTATCTATTTCGGATCTCCTTGGTCTATCTCTGGTCCAGTATCTGCATATTGTACATAGCCCTAAATCGTTCCCCGATATCATGTTTCACCTGATCTGCCGCAACAGCATCAACAACAACAGACAGACACTCAATGGACAGACGTGTATATATAGTAGAAATTGGGAAAATAATATGGAATAAAGGAAAAGAAAAAAGAATATCGTGAAGAGAACGTAGCCAACGGCTGCTTCATACGTGCAACTCGCTCGAAAATCAAGACATGAACAGAAAGTAGGGTGGGGTATGTCAACGTATATGCGGTGAGCCCAATTGGTTCAATGAAAGAATGGCAATGAGGTGGTAACATCCATTAAGATCTTACTATCTTTGGAAAAATGGTGACGAAGAAGCAAAGAAGAAGGAATGGCCCCGCAGGGAGCAAGAAGGAAAATTCATACGGAAATGGAGATGGGGTGGAGCAGCGAGAGCAAACCGGCACCATCACCACTCACTCTTGGGGTTGAGAGGGAGGAGGCACTTGTTGCATCTCAATGTCATTTTGAGGCTCGACATTTCGAGGGAGATACTTGCGCTTCATCGTGCTCAGGCGCTGGTCCCCTTCCTGATAAGGCTGCTTGAACTGCATATACGTTGGGGGCCGTGGCCGCAGGAAGACGGACAACCAGTTCCGGAAGACATTGCCTTGAGTGAAGGGCCGATGGCGGTCGGCTTTCGCAAACTTGTGCGAGTTCAAATATTCTCGGGTGGTCTCGCCCCGACCGACCAGGAAGAGATGGTAGGCCCATAACGAGGCCGGGTATGGTGCGGCAACCGCACCGTAGATCACCATGGCCCAGGGAACTCTCCATTTATCGATGGCTGTGCCAAAGCTGACATGCTCTCGTGATTTATACACCAAGATGTGTGCGAGACTGGCACCAAGCAAGAACAGAGCAAGGAGGGTGGAGGATGCCACAAATGTGAAGAAGTACCGGTAGTTACGGCGACCAACGCAGTTGTTGAGCCACACACAGTGATGGTCAAGAGTCTCAACACAGTTGTCGCATACACGGCAATGATAGCAGCGGGGAGGACGCCATATACAGCAGGTCTTGCAGTACTTCACAGGCACGTCCATGGCCGCAACGTCGGATGTCGCCAGCTTCACCATCACCCAGTCGTTGGTTGGAGGGCCAATTGCCAACGGGTCATCTGCGGGATCCGGGGGTGGCAGCTGATGAAGGTTGCGAGGAATAATCTAGAGCGGATCTGTTAGCAGTTGATGATGCACTGTCTTGCTTGAATCTGTCTTACCCCAGGATCAACGACGGAAGCATGTATAAATGACGAGAAGCACAAGTAGAAAAGATACGCGAACAAAATGGGAAGGGCGGGCGAGATGTTGTGCCAGAGCCAAGGACCCCTATGTATCGTTAGCTACTCGAACACACCGAGTGAGAGACGGGATACCTACGAATACGCGAAGAATAGAGCCGTAGGTACAAGCACGAAGATTGCCGTAGCAATATTGACGGGCTTATCCCTGGAGTTCTGGAGCCTTCCCCGGCCGAAGAAGATGGTGTTGCCGACAAAATATTCGTAGTTTTTGCCCAGACGGCTTTTGCTTGCACCGGCCTGAGGGGCCTTGTCGATAGACCCAGGGGTAGAGCCGGCAGACGAAAGCCTCTCATGTGCCCGTACGTCACGGCTACTCTCATGTCCCTGATTTCTGTTCTGCAGAGAGAGGAAAGAAAGCGTGGACCGGTGGGGGCTGACAGGCTCGTTTGAGCCATGATAGTTTCCCCCGAGGTTAAGATGAGGTTGTTGGATCTTATAAGCCCTCTCCCTGTCGTAGAGAAGTTTGGCGCTCTCGCCCTGACTCCTTCCCGTGGTGTTACCGATAGGGCTAGCATTCGAGGTGTTGCGGTCAGGGATGATAGGGTCCGTGAACTCTGTGCCTCTCGAAGGAGGAGCTTCCTGCTCTGTCGGAGGAATAGACCCTTGCGGTATCGTGCTATTCGAGATGAAGCTCTGTCTGTTCTGACTCGTATGATCGTTCCAATCTTCCGATGTGTCGGTCATGGTCCCCTTTGTCATAGGCCGACCCCGATGAGCCTGGAGTCGCTGAGAAGACATAGGACGGAAGAAGCCTTGCGCAGCAAGCGAAGGAATGTGTGACCGGCTCTGCTTGCTACTAGCACTCCCTGGCCTAGTCCATTGACTGGTCGATGTGATAGAGCTCCTGGCAGGCGGGGGTCCTCGTCTAGGAGCCGACGCTCGGGACTGCGGTGGATGCGACGAAACTCCGGTATATGTCTGGGACTGTTCTCCATCATCTGACGCCATGTCCGTCACCCGGGACGAAATTCCTCCCACGGAAGGGGGTCGCGGAATACCGAGAACATGTTGCGGGGGCGCCGAGGCAGGCGTGTCGCTGGTCTCCGAAATCGCGGAAGATAGAGGCATGTCGTTGAGTGTGGATGGAAAATTTTTACTCATATATCACAGCAATCTAACATATTGTGGCCAGACAGGAATGAAGCGGTTCGGGTTAAACGGACGGAGCGTCGTCTGTGATGACGGGAGCGCGGTGAGGGAAGTTATCGGTAGGAATAAAGTGAAGGAGTGACGAAGAAAATAAAAGACGTATATCGAGGTAGACTGGTATAAGATGAGGAAAAAAGAATGTAAGCAACCTATATTGGACAGTGCTCAGTTAGCCTCATCTAAAAAAGACGGGATCCAGACCGGTTTCTCCCCCTGTCGGCACGCGGGAAGGGAGAGAGAGAGAGAGTCAAACGACGAACCTTGGAAATGAAGTTGCGGTGATTGCAAGACACGCGAATCACGTCACATCACGGTCGCAAGCCGAAACCCAAGACTTGCGATGGCCGAAGTGAGGATGTAAGACCCCAGACACCTCAGAGCCGGACAGGTGGATGACATGCGCAGAGCAAACACGAGGGTTTATCGCAATCGATACCGTATGATGACTGATTATTGGGGGGAAGAAGGAAAGCCTAACCAAACCAGTCCAGCTTGAGTTTAGTCCCGGAGCTTAGCTCCAGGCAGTCAATCAGGCAGTCAGGCATGAAGGCCGCACACGAAAAAAAGTGTCAGGCCAACCACGCGGGCTGAGTCAGCAGCCGTGCCGGAAGCTGGCCAACGAAATGTCACCTGATGATGCGCCGGCAACATCATACGTCCGACGCCCACCGATTCTCCCACCTCCTCCCTCAAGACCCATTCGAACCACCAACCCCCCACAGTCCTCGCAGACACACGTCCGCTCCTCGCAATCCCATCAACATGTCTTCAATTGCTGCTATGGCCTCCCGCCGGGCCTTCGCCCGCCAGTCCTTCCTTCGCGCTCCCCCGCGCCGCTTCTACAGCTCCAAGGTTGAGGAGGCTGGCCTCGACAAGGGCCCCAAGCGTGACCCCGAGCTCTACGTACGGACCCAATGAACCGATAGAAATCAATTGCGATCGTTGGAATCTAATTGGTGAAATTATACTTGAACAGGTTCTGCTCGGTGTCATGTCCGGTGCTTTCCTGCTTGCCGGATGGTGAATACTTTTCCCTTTTCCCCGATTTCTTTTCATAGTGTGTCAGCACGACAAAACATACAACGCTCAATTGCGAAAAAAAATCTCTCGACACTACTATACCAATCTAATAATGAATCGACTCAATTGGCTAACATAATTTTTTCCCCCGAAAATAGGTACTTCGGCAGAAAGCCCACCTCCGTCACCTCCGAGAGCAACGTCCGCATTGGCGAGAGTGCCATGCCCTGGGAGCAGACCGACGAGAGTGGCAAGGTCTACAAGTACCAATACCACCCCCACGGTGACAAGAGCCAGCCCCTGCGCAATGCCCCCAGCGCCCTGAACACCGTCATTGTTCCCAACGTTACCCTGCCCGTGGTATTTACTGCCCCCCCACCCCCATGTGGTTGATATTCGCGACCAATATTCGACAATGCCAACTGGATCACTAACAATCGATTCCCTGTTCTTTCTAGGACCTCCACGAGCGCTACAACAAGTACGGAAAGGAGGAGTGGGACTACTAAATAGTTCACCATCTGCAATCGCAGACAAGGCCGTGTTGTTGAGATTCTAGGAAGAAAGAAGTTGAGGCAGGTCGGCGCTGATCGCTGTACACTAAAACTTGTGAAGACTAGAGTATGGGGTGAGACCGTTTTTACAAGACCACTGTGCATAGTTTGTTGTTTTGACGAGGTTTTATTTGGAAGATTGTTTCGTTGCGCTTACACCAAGTTCCCAAACTGTGATAAGACATGTACAATCAAGTAGGCCGCTAAATCCAGGAACACGTAAGTAATCATGTACAAGAGTCACATTTCGTTAGACCAAAGTAGTTGAATGAGCAAGAGGGAGGAAAGAGAAGCCAGTTATTGCTAGAAAAGAAGTACAGAAGAAGTAAAAGAGAACAGCCAAAGTTTGAAACCAGTACAGCGATCCCTCACAAATGCTTCAAGTCTATTCAAGATTTGGTCGCCTCGTTGGCCTCGCTGGCCGGCTTGGGGTCAGGCGAGCCGCGCTGCTCCTGGGAGCTTCCTTGCCCGGCAACTGAAGCTGGGCCGTCCTCTACAGCCTGAGGGGGCTGTCTTCCAACAGTTTCGGGATTTTGGCCTTCAACGTCGGGGTGAGGCGGGGCAATTTGACCGTCGATCATGTCGACAACACGGCCGTTCTCCAGGCGAGTCTTCGTCTCATGACGGCTCTCGAACTGGACCTTACCCTCCTTCTTCAACTGAGCAACAAGTTCCTCGTCCAGCACGTTTCCGTGTTGATCACGGTACTCCACACGGGCCTTGGCAGTGTGCCGAGCCCGGGGCGTGACAGCCGGTTCCTGTGCCTCCTCCTGCAAGACTTCCTGTTTCTGTTGCGGGACTTGCTGCGGGACCTGTTGTTGTGGTGGTTGTTCCATCACAACGGGGGGTGCTTGTGGCACTGACGCTTGAGTCGTGGGGATAGCCGGGTGCGTGTCCACGATCTGGGTCACGTATTGGTCAAGCTGTAATCATGTTAGCGCCTACAACATGAGTATCGGCTGCGGTGCCCCGGATACTTACGCTAGTGTAAAATGTGTGGCAGTCAAAGTCCCAGCTGTCCATTAGCTTTACACTGTTGCAAGCATCCTGGGTCCAGGGGTTGCCGTAGACCAGAGGCGAGTACAGTGTAAAAGTAAAGATGCTAATCGCAAGGAAAATACCGGCCAACAATTTGCCGATAACAGGGCGAGATGGTAGCCCAAGGCTCTTGATGCGGTTGGCAAGGAAGTCGAACTCCTGGCAGAGGGCAATGATAGCGAAGTAGAGGGCAGGGAAATAATGGTGCAGGAAAAGCTGGCGCGCCATGAGGTAGAAGGGGAAGTAGTGGAAAGCCCAGCCAAGTACACTAGTACCAATTTCGTAGTCGAACCGTTTGAAGTTCACGTTGTGGTAATCACCACAGCTCCTCTGCCAACGAAGAACAGAGATTCCCTTGAAGATAACGTAGATGACAATGGCCACTGTTGAAGACCACCAGATGAAGGGGTTGCCCAGGAGGTAGACTTGGCGGTGATCCTTGCCCCAGAAGTTGATGCCACGGAGGAGGGTCGGCCAGGAAGGCGGGCGAGAGTCCCAAGCGTGCGATTCAGTCAGGCCTGCATTGGTAATCCACATCACCTTCTGCAGCTCCCAGAACTTGCCGAAGAAACCGGGGTTCCTGTAGTTAACCTTCTCACCATCCTCTGCTAGCATAGGGTGGCTGTTCGATTCAATGTACCAGATGCTGTTGGGCAAAGTAGCTCCTCTGGCGCAGGTCACTTCTTGCTGGTCGAAACCCCACTCGGGAAGCTTGACTTTGTGGGAAAACAGGACACAATTGGTCATAACGTGCACCAGGCGGAACTTGGTCTGGATGGTGCGCAGTCGCTTCTTCGCCTCCTCGCCCTCAGAGAGGGACTTGACAATTTCAACGCGGAAGAGATCGTTTGCATCTCCGGGGAATCCATCGTAGCCATATGCAGACACCTCGAATTGCCAATCCACATCTGTGACAGGAGGCCGTTCATCATGCGAGTGAATACGTCTCCGAGTGATAAGGTGATCTAACCTGATCACAGCGCCATCTTCGATATACTCCGCGGTAATGTTGTCCCAGGCCAAGGGGCCCTCCACTGTTCCATAGGGGCCAAGAGGCTGAGTCTGGTTCTCGAGGACGAAGATGTTGTTCTCATCCTTGTGGGGGTAGAGCGTGATCTGTTGCTGCTTACTTCCTGTGGGGTACATGTGGTTGTGAGAATGAAGATAGCCTCCTTGGGTGTTAAGGTGACGGATGCTGACGCGGGATCCAAATGCAACATCGGCGGGAACGTCCTGCATTCCCTTGGAGTTCAGGGTCGCTTGGAACTCGGACGACATGAATCCATCTCCATCGCCGGGGTTAACAAGGCACAGGAAGTGAATTCCAAACATGGCGCAGTAGAAGCTGAGGGGAATAACAATCAGGCAGAAGACACGAGCAAAGAAGTGCTTGAACCACAGGCGCTGTAGGATACGGGGTTAGCCGCTGGCTCTTGCAGATCTAGATCGAGATTTGGAAGCACGTACCGGTGTGACATTCTTCGGATCACCAAGCAGAACCCACAGTTGGAGAACGGTAAGCGACCCAACCCAAGCAACGGTGAAGAGTCCAACCCATTTGACACTGAGGGTAGCGCCCAGAGAGAGGCCAGTTGCCGCGAGCCAAAACCACCAGGGTCCACGGAAGGAATGAGAAGGTCCCAATTCCTGCTGGTTGGTAAAGCACGTGAAAGACAATGCGGTGAGCGCAGTGAAAAACACCAATGGGGAATCCAAGAGAATGAGACGAGATTGAGTGATAAGACCGTTCTCTGCGCTAAATCAGCATGTGCAATTGACCAGACGGACAGGCATGGAGACCTACCAAAGATGACGACACCGGCACCTAGCACCGCGGTGATAGTGCGGCATCCCGATGCCCTCAATGTCAGGAACATCAATGGGATCGTGAGAACACCCAAAATCGCTGGAAGCATGCGCATGGCAACATATGGTACGCCCGGTTCGAGGTAATCCTTTCCAATGTCCTTGAAATCGAACTCGCCATCAAATCCCGCCAGCCAGCCAGCAAGTGTGATGAGCAACTTGGCAAGAGGAGGATGAACATCCATGAAGAAGCGGCCCTTAATGTACTTTGTCGCAAAACCTCCGAAACTGTCCGCCATGCATTAGAACAAGATTATCTCCGGCATATGCGGGGGCGGAAAAACGCATGCACACATACTGGACTTCGTCGAAGACAACGCTAGAAGGCTGGTAGATCCTGAACAACCGCACCACTGCCGCAACAATGGTCACCAGAACTAGAGTTCTATAGTCGGAGGCGGGAAGATGGAAAATATTGTTGTCCGTAACGCCATCTGAGGCATAACTCGAGGAGGCCGCGACGGCCTTCTTGCGGCTCTTGGGACCGGGAGAGCGGCTGGGAGAGCGTGAGGATGATTTTGGCGGCGGCGTAACCGCCAAGGTGTCTTTGGATTTGGCCGCCATTGTCGAAGGCGGTTCGAATAGGGAATTGCACAGAGAGAGGAAAGAAAAAAGGAGTGGACAGGAGACTGGTCGGGGGAGGGGTTCAGAAGATCCTAAAAGCAGAAAAATAAAGGGCAATTGATCATCAAGAGCTACCGCGGGCAAGCGAAACAATGACGGAGCCCGTTACTGCACAATGCTCCAACTCCAGGGGAGCTTCGGGACCACCCCCGCTGAACAGGCACAGATGTAGATGAGGTGTGGGGGGTGTAAACAAAAAAGTGGACAATCAAAAGAGGGTAAGAAGTTATTTCAAAAAAGAAGCGCCATGACAGAGAAGAAGCGGAACAAAAGGGGACCGGGGAAGGCAGAGAGTAAGAGGGAAGATGATGAAGAGCGAGCACAGCACGTGTGGGACGATTTAGGGAGGCGGACGAAAGCGTCGGCCGCTTTAAGGCCAGATCGTCGGCCGCAGTTTGCGAGAGACTCTTGGTTTTCTGCCCGTCAGCATTATGCAAGGCCCCCATGCACGCCGCCAGCATCAGCCTCGTAGGGGCAGTTTAATTATAGCTATCTATAGTCTACAATGTCCCAACTTTCATGTAAAACGTCCAAGCTTAGAGCCATGACAACAAACAATAATAATCAATAATGGATGTTGCCCCAGCGTTCATCAACGGTCAGGTTACTTAAGTTACTTAAGTTACTAAGTAGATTGATTGACAACGCCAGGGACTGGCCCATCGCGGTTTAGCCTCGTGTCAATCCAGCCAATCATCAGCTCCCATGTCTACGCGCGCGGGTAGCCTGTCCGCCCGCGCTTAGTCTTCAATAGCCGCGCCCAGAAATGAAGTCAACCCGAAAAGGAACATCGCAGGTCGCCGAATCGCCTCAGTCTGGACTCTCTCATCCAATCCCGCATCTCTCCATTTTCATCGGAGTGCGAATCATGGCATCTGCAAGTAACGGAGGTACTCCGCTGCCGGAAGAGGTGGGCAAGCCACCTGAGGGCGTGGTCTTGCCACCCAAGGACATTCGAGGTAAGTTTGTCGATGCCTCCGAGGCCTGGTGACGCCTGAAAGCTAACATTGGAACAGCTATCGTCGAGAAAACGGCCGGCTACGTCGCTCGAAATGGTGTCGTCTTCGAAGGTACGTCACACCCCTGCATACTATTCTCTCATTCGGACCGCGCAGCTCACGCGCAGACTCTTAGATCGCGTTCGTGAAAAGGAACGGAACAACCCCAAATTCTCCTTCCTCAACCCCGGTGACGCCTACGCTCCCTTCTACCAATGGCGTCTTGTCGAGATCAAGGAAGGACGAGGAACAGCAGTGGCCGCAGGCCGACCTGGCGAAGCCACCCCCGCAGCTGAACCCGAGAAGCCCAAGGGCCCCGAAGAACCGCCGGAGTTTCACTTTTCTGCACGGATGCCCATAATCAATGCGCAAGATCTGGAAGTCGTGAAGCTCACGGCCCTATTCGTCGCCAAGCGTGGAAAATCATTC